CAGATGTTGTTGTTGTTATGTGCCGAGGAGTCGGGTCCAACCCATAGCGACCCTGCTGTACAGGGTTTCCGAGGGTGTAAATCTTTACGGGAGTAGAAAGCCTCATCTTTCTCCCGCGGAGCGGCTGGTAGTTTCGAACCGCTGACCTTAGTGAATATTAATTCTTGGAAGTCTTCAGCTTAGCTACAGAGCACTTTTCTTTATCATTCCCTCTTCCCTTCTCCTTTTAACATTTAAAGGCAGTTTTTTCTTTTTGAAAAGCGAGAGGATTTATTCTTAGCGAGTAAGCCCGAGCAGAGTGATGGAATTATTTTGTTGAACAATTAACAAAAAATAATAAATAAATAAAGACTTCTCATTTGTAGGAGGGAAATCTGAAGTTGCAACACATAGAGAAAATATTTTCCAAAGAAATGCCCCTCACTGTCTTGAAAGTTGAGTTAGGGTACTTAACTAGACTCTTATTAAAGATGAACATAATCTATTTCCTGTTTTCCAGGACCCTGAACCACCAATATGACTACACATTTGATTGGACAATGTTAAAGCAGAAAGCAGCACAGCAGGCAGCCTCTTCCAGTGGGCAGGGTCAGCAGGCCCAAACCCCCACAGGCAAGCAAACTGACAAAACCAAGAGTAACATGAAAGGTTAGTAGCCAAGAACCAAGTGACGTTACAGGGAAAAAAATTGAACCAAAAATTGGGTAATTTATTCATTTCTAACAGTGTTAGATCAAGGAGGTGGTTTTAAAATACACCAAAAAATTTGGCTCTGGTTTTTGTTTTTTTTTTTTTTTTTTTTTTAAAAAAAAAAAAAGACGTCCTTGGAAAATTTGACTACTAACTTTAAACCCAAATGTCCTTGTTCATATATATATGTATTTATATATACATATATGTGTGTATATTGTATCATTTCTCTTGGGATTTTGGGTCATTTTTAACAACTGCATCTTTTTTACTCATTCATTAACCCCTTTCCAAAATAAATATTTGGTGTTGGGAATATGGTATAATCAATCAATCCAAAATCCTAGACCTAACACTTGTTGACTTAAGTAATGAATCTGGTTAGCCATGGTATTTGATTTTTATAACTAACAGTGTTTAAGACTTCTTTTTTCTTGCATGTTAACAGTGCTTATAGCCTTTAAAATAGAAATTAGTAAATATGATATAATTTCAAGAGGTGAGTCTGGCATTGTCCCAAAGTGTCTGTCTTCTCAGTTGGAAAACATCTCAGTTCCTCGCTTAAATACTCAAATAACTGAAAAGCTGAACATGTCTTTCCTGGTCACAAAATCTCTGATTTAGTTGCCATTCTAGTACATGTGTTAATTTCAAAATGGTTCCTATTTTGGCTCTTAAATTTTGGAAATATTCAGGCTCTAGGAATCTAATGTGGAATTGAAATCTTTGGTTAGGCCTTGCAAATTGAAGATACCTGGGGCAAATGCCATTAAACTGCAAGTCTCTTTCCTTTCTAGCAGTCTCTGATATTCTTAGTGCTACTGAGAAGTAGAACTGTTAGGGCACAGTTCCATTTCTTGACACTGTTGCCACACAGTTCCACTCCTACTTTCATGTTTTTGTTTGTCTGTCATTTCCCCTTTTCTGGGGCTTGCCTCATGATACTTGCCTACTTCCTGGACATGGTAGGCAGGTAAGGTTTGGCTTTTGTTTTTTATTTCTGAATGTCTGCTCTAGTCTGAACTTCCCACCATAGGTTAACTTTTGGTGTGTATTATTAGTGTTATTTTTAAACAAAAAAAAAACACACATGTATTTTAATCTGAAGATGCTTTTCATGATTAACTGATGTCATCCTCATCCCAGCAGCTCATCTGTTAGGTATGAGGTTAAAATGCTTCCTGTACTTGGGAAACATTCAGAGTTTAAGGTTTGATGTAGTGGGAATGAAATTTAAGCTCAGGATCTTTGCATATCAAATAAGACTTAATTGCTCTCCTTTGAGTCTTTTAATCACTGTATGACTAATCATAGTATCAAGAAGTTACTAATGATTTAGGTGGCTAGTGTCATTCAAAAAAATGTTCCTATCATTTAGATACGGCCAAGTAAAAGTCTCTAAACTGAGGACTTGTTACATATGACACATGCAGGGTGTTTGCTTTTTCTCATAAAATCAGTTTTTGCTAAAAAGCTAGCTGGGATAATAGGATGATCACTAGTTAAAAGTTTCTATAACTGAAATTAGATTCAAGTCTCATCTGACCTAGAACATTTCGCTTCAGGCATTCAGCAGCCTTCAGAAAGAATTACCTTATTGTAAACTAGTTCCATTGTTAGTTTACTGTGTGTCTTTTACTCAATAAATAAGCAGAATTTTTGTCCTGCCTTATCCAGGTCTTAAAGATGAGAAGTTGGACCCACTGAGTTAGTATGTTGCCTTGGAAAAAATTAAACTTAATTTAATCCTTAGTTTGTATTGTAGCTATTTTTCATTAAAGTAACTTTCAGGCTTACAGAGATTTCATAGCATTTTAGGCATAGTGGTTATACAAATAATTACATAATAAAACCAAAAGCAAACCCACTGGCATTGATTCTGACTCATAGTGACCCTGCATAGTTTCTGAGGCTATAAATCTTAATGGGAGTAGAAATCCTCATCTTTCTCCTTCTAAGCACCAGGTGAGTTTAAACTGCCAACCTTGCAGTTCTGAGAAGTTGTTCTTTTTGTAAAACTCAAAATTTTGCTTGCTTCAAAAAGATGCCACCTCCAGAATACAAAAAAATGGTGTTTGCTTTTTGTTTTTTTGACTTCTTGAAAACACCCATATTGTTTTCGATGTAGAACCCAGTACTCAAAACTAATTTCACGTGAAACTCCCTGTATATATATACCAGATCTGAGGGTGGCGTGAGGTAAGCATGAAGAACCTCACCCAACATCCTGTTCCTTAAGAAGTCTCCTAGGAAATTTCATAACTGTTCAAGATTATTACTGATTCTGTTAATAAAAATCATAGCTTTTAGGGTCCACTGCAATTTGTCTTTTGTTTAACGAAAGAGCTCAGTGGTGATGAAAACACCATAGCAAAATTTTCTAATTAAAACAGCTTTTTATACATTATGTCATTTGTTCCTAATAGAATTGTACTTTCAGAGATTTACACATCAGGGAAATTTCATAAACTAACCTTTAGCAAGTAAGTCTCTATATTGCAAAGACTATTTCTGGAAAAATCCCCAACATGTGTTTTGTATAGTGTTGTGTTTTTTTTAAATCTTCATCTAATGTCTCTCTAATAAGTTATTAGCAATTTGCTAAGAATGTTCAAAGACTCTTTATGTAGTCTGACTTACTCAGTTAACATAGGCTTATTATATATAGCAGGCAGACATCTGTCCTGATTACTTTTCTTGAGATCTTTTCAATCACTCCATTCCAGTTCCCATCAAAAGACAAAAGGGGAGTTGGAGGGGAGAAGAAGGTGGCTATCTCTAATGCCTAGTATGAGTTGTACTAGTTTTTTTTAGTGTCCACGTACCACAGGAGGAGTATTATTTTAGTTTTCATTAATGTCCAGAGAGAAAAAATGTAAGATTCACATCTTAACATACTTTTAAATCCCTTTCTCTTAAAATACGTGTTTTCTACAAAAGTGTTTCTCAAGACCTAGCTAGTAAAGAAAGGAGAAAATATTCCTTAGATTAAAATCCAGTTAAGTTTACTGTTTTATTTGAGGGCAGTTGTTGTTAAGTGCCGTCACGTCGGTTCCAACCCATAGCGACCCTGAACAGTGTTTCCGAAGCTACAAATCTTTACCGGAGCAGAAAGCCTCATCTTTCTCCTACAGAGCAGCTGGTAGTTTCAAACTTCTGACCTTGAGATTTGCAGCCCAGTTCATAACCACAATGCTACCAGAGCTCCTTATTTGAGTGCAGTAGGTTAGGGAAAATTTCAGCACCTAAAGTAGTAGATCCTGACATAATTCTGTTACTCTCTTTTATCATTTTAATCCATCTTTTCACTGTATTAACCATTTATACTAAGAGCAGTTTTAGCATAATAATACAGATCCATGTCCAAAGTGTGGACATTCTAAAGAGGTTAGAAATACTTTTCCATTACATTAACCTAACATGTCCATGGTCTTCCTTTAATTGCCTACCAGTAGTTACTGGACTTCACCTGCCATTTGTGTCTAGTTTAACTTTCTTTGACTTCACCAATTGCTGATAGGAACGAGGCTGATCACTCAGCAACGCAGCCCAAATCACAGGGGAAGACCTTGAAATACCAGAGAGACTTAATTGCTCTGAATACACTCAATCTGAAGAAGTGCCAACAGCTGCATTGGCTTGCTGCAATCTCCAGTTGTCAGCTTTTTCCACTGTGGACAAAAAAAGTAATAGAAGAGAGTTAAATAATTCGGCGGGAAATGAAGATAAAAGTGCAAGAGTTGGCTTGTGATCTGAATGAAGCTCTTAACCTCCAAGGGTTGTTGGACCTATCAAAATGATCAGCTTAACAAGATTTCTGGGTGACACCACAGCAGTCAGAAGTGCTTGAAGGAGTAGTGTTGCTGTGATTCAGTGGTGTATAATGGTGAGCATCTACCAGTTGGGGAAGGAATCAATTGTAACAGGTATTTCACAACCCAGCAACCTCAGAAATCTGTAATGGAGAAGCCAAAATAATTTCAGATCGTTTCTCTCTCTTCTTAATGTACTTTAGGAGGGATACGTATTTATTATACTTAAATCATCATTTACCTTATTTGTTGTGGGAAAAAAAAAAAAAATCTTGTTTTTTTAAACTTGCCCCAAATCCATATAATACCTTTTTTGTTTCTGTGAAGAAGGCAGAGCTGTAAACTTTTTGTTTTCTCTCTATAATGTTACATACTGCCAATCTCTGATTAAAAATGATCTAAACTTGATTTCTCTGGGACCAAAAACACACACAAATATGTTAACAGGAAAAATTTGTTCAATACGAATAGCAATTCCTAGTGAATATGAATGCTATGCTCACAATGCCTTACAAAGTTGTATGTGTATTATACCATGTACCCATTGCCACCAAATTGATTCTAATTCCTAGGACAGAGTAGACTGTGCCACAGGTTTCCAAGGCTGTAAATCTTGACAGAAGCCTCCCCTTTCTCCTGAACAATAGCTGGTGGGTTCCGCCCATTGACCTTTTGGCCCACTGCTGACTACTTAACCCCTGCACCACCAAGGCTCCTCAATTTCACCAACTTAGATTCCCATTTCAGCTCATTTTTGGTGCATGTGAAGTTAATTCACAAATAAGAATAGATGTGTATTCCTGGCTTGTTAAAACAGCGGTTTTCCCAGTTATTTGGTTTTGGGGTTTTGTTTTTGTTTTTATTTAAAAAGAAACTTAATATAGCTATTAACATCTGAATATCACATTAAGTTTTCCACCCTGTTTTAACTCCTATTTTCTTCTCTTTTTTTTAGGAAGAAAGTGGTGTAGCTCATATATTGGCCGATACTTCAATGAAGATGGGTTGTTGAATTTTTAGAAGCCAGGAAACATCATTTAAACTTAAAAATAAAAACCAAGGACAAATGCATATGGGGGAAAAGAATGCTTAGTACTTGAAGATTGAATGCCTGCTGAATATTCATATTGAGGGTTTTTCTAAACAAGCTTCAGTTACAACTTACAACAATTCACTGGAGAAGCATTGATCCTGGGTGGAGTATCCTACCATCAACCCATCCGAAGAGTTAAATCTGGATTTGACTGCTACAGTCTACCAAGAATATTGGTTAAGCTAGCCACTAGCCATCCCTAGATGATTATCATCATTAATTGACCCAGCAATTCTTCAAATATAATATTAAAAGATGAAGACAAAGTTCTTTCTTATCTAGAGCTTCCCTCTTAAATACAGTTTCCTAATATATTGATTGACAATGTAAATAGTTAGCTTGTTAATGACAGTAGTTTTCCATTTTTAAGCCGTTTATTTTATTCATCATAATAATCTACTCAAAATAATGTAATTCCACTTGCAAAGAAAATGAAGTAATTTTAGTATTTGTGAAAACATTCTAAGTACAATTGCAGGACTTGAAACCAAAGGCTGCCTGGAGTAAGGTGTTTTTTTTTTTTCCTTTTAGCTCATCTGTAGTTTTTTAGCCTACTTTTAAATATTCTGTATTCTAAAGATGGGATTTGGTCAGAGTATGGTCATAATTTAACTAAAGTACACATAAAATACTCCCCATGGTGAAGAAATATATTCTCAGAAAGTCATTATTTTTCACTTTTGGCATCTTAGGAACTTAGTTATGGGGACACAAAGATATACAACATTCATACCTTTCTCCTCAGAGCTTATACCATATGTTTTTTTAAATGGATGAAGATGATTTTTTGCCATGAAATGAAAATCCTAGTTAATGAGATTATTACCAAAAATAGTATATAAATGTTTTCACTTTCTGTTATAAAACAATGGTTTACATGCATAAAAAGGAAAAAAATCTGGTTTTTTTAATCTATAAATGTGATAATAGGTAAGCTAACAAATGGTTGAGAAGTAAAAGAATATAGGGGTAGTTACTGATAGAACACCATAGATCGTGCTTAAAAATACAAAGAATTCTAGTGGGCAAGTATGAAGTGGTCTATAACGATATGACAGGGTAGACGAAGATATTGGTGCCTCTTAAGAGAGTAGCTGTGCGTGGCCACAGAAGGTGGTTGTAGGGTTTTCATGTTACTGAGATACAGGCATTTCCTTTTTGCCCTTGTAAAGTGCTATTGAGTTGGTTCTGACTCATAGCAACCCTTGATAGAGTTTTCAAAGAGCAACTGGTGGGTTTGAATCACTGACCTTGTGATTAGCAGTCCAGTGCTTATGTAGAATTCCTAGGGTTTTTAGGGGCAGTGGAGAGGAGGGCTAAGTGTATGTTGGCAAGAAGGGAAAACTTGAAGAATGTAAAAATTCAGCCAGAAAAGCATCACTTGTGTTTACATTTTTTAAATTCATAATAAACCTTAGCATATTTAATGACTTGATATAAGTGAAGCGTTTTTAAAGATCTAAGATTTCTGTAGAAATCATAGGATTCATATTTGTAATTGAATACATTTATTATTAATCAGCATTCCTTATATCAGAAATGTGTACACCAAAGTTATTAAAGTAAAGCAGTCTAGTTTTCATCGTTCATTTGACAAACGTTTGAACACAACAATACATTTTAGGTGCTAGAAAATAGAGAAGTGTAACATAAGAGGCTTATTTGAATTATCAATAATTCTATAACTTGAGAATTATATGCTAACTGGGAAGCTTTAGCTTACTGTTGTACTATTTACTTTAACTTACTGTAAAATCACGCCTACCTAAGTCATGTGAAACCGAAAACTTGGTTTTCTTTTAAACACTTGCACTAATGATCTTCACATAGATGAGAAAGAAATGACTCATTATCTTCATTATTGATCTAGTGCAACTCACATTTTCTACTTTGAGCCTAGTTTCCAGTGTTTTAACATCCATTTTTCTGCTTGTTTTTTGTTAGGTTTCTAAGCATGAATTGAAGAACAGAAGAAGCAGAGCAGATGATCGGAGCAGCGTTTGTTTCTCCCCAAATCTAGAAATTTTAGTTCATATGTACACTAGCCAGTGGTTGTGGACAACCATTTACTTGGTGTAAAGAACTTAATTTCAGTATAAACTGGCTCTGGGCAGCACTGTGGATGCTGTATCCTGAGTTGTAGCCGCTGTCATTGTGAATATTAACTGAGATAGTGAAACATGGTGTCCAGTTTTTTATTGCATTTTTTTCAAGTGGAAAAGTTAACTAAATGGTTGACACACAAATTGGTGGAGAAATTGTGCATATGCCAATTTTTTAATTTTTTGGTTAAAACCTTTTATTTCGAACTATACTGCTTTGAAATGTCATTTCAGAAGAACGGCATGAACAGTCTTCAGCCACGGTTGTGATGGTTGTAAATGCTCACAATTGTGCATTCTTGGGGTTTTTCCATCCCCGGGGTTTGCAAGTTGTTCACTTAAAACATTCTCAAAATGGTTGGCTTCTTGTTTGCAAGCCAGCTGATATGGTAGCAACCAAAGATTCCAGTGTTTGAGCATATGAGAGACTCTGCCTGCTTACCTGTGCTAGAATAACAGCATCTAAAATGAAGACTTACGAAAAACTTAGCGACTACTAGATTATCTTTAGGACTCTGCATTAACTCTATAATGTTCTTGGCATTAAAGGAAAAAAAAAACACAACCATATTTCTGAACATGTATGTATGTTGCTTAGATAAATGTAATCACTGTAAACATCTATATGATCTGGGATTTCGTTTTTATTTTGAAATGGGAGCTTTTTTGTTTACAAGGTCATTAAAAACTAAAAAATGTTTCTGTAAGGAAATGAGGTTTTTTTTTTGTTCTTGTTGTTTTTTTAAGCAAAAAAAAATGCCTTGCTAACACACTATGAAATCAGAATCTCCCCAATTTTTTAATAGACTACTTTAAGCCATTTAAGTATATTCCTTTGCAAATCATTCTAGATTTAGTGTTAACAATTCCTCCCAAAAAAAAAAAAAAAAATTTTTTTTTTTTTTTTAAATTGTGTGTGAGGGGGGTTTTGTTTGTTAGTTTGTTTTTTGGTCTGAAGGGGGAAAGGCATTCTTTCATTTTTCTTTTTTTAATGACTTGCAGCCACAATACCTAATACTGCAACTGCCAGGACTTGGTATTGTCACTCCTGCTGCCTCTGACTTAACAGCTGGACTGATTTTAATAAAAATAAAAGCGTTAAAGGGTTTAACTACAAAAGGAAGTTTTCCTTTAAAATCTTTGTGAAATGGCTCTAATGATTGACTCTTATTCTTTGAGAGCTGTCCCTCCCTCCCACCCACTTCTGTAGGTTATCTCTGCGTGGGCTTCCTCTTGATCTTTCTCTGATCCAAGAGAATGAAAACTTATTGATGATAATTCTTTAAATAGTGTAATTTATTCATTTGTAGCATGTCAGAATAAATTAAAAGAACATTTGTGTGAAAAGCAGCCGGGAGCCTATTGTGTAAATGTGGGTATTTTGTACAATAACATTGAAACTGTAAATTGATATTGTTTGGTCAGATTGCGTCAGGTTTGATTTGTTTGTGTGTGCGTGTTTTTTGTTTTTTTGTTGTTGTTTTTTAATTTCGTTTGCAAAATACTTTAGCAATAATTAATTCCATGATTACCATATTTGCAATTAAGGGATATATTAATACCATAATACTGCAGAAATTTTAATGAGTATGACCTTTTGGGGGTAGGCAGCTTCTTTGTTTTCTATTCACCTTTGTCAGTTGTTTGTTTCTTGACTAATAAACCCTTTGATACTTTTAGCCAGAAATCAGTCTCATAAAGCTATTTTTGAGTATAGTTTGTGTAAAATAAAAAGGTTTAGCTTTGGTAATAATCTTTTTCCAAGCTGAACTCCCTCTAGCAAAATATTTTTCAGTGCTTTTATTTACTATGCACTTAGACTATGCACTTTTTCTGAAATATTTTTGTAACACTTTTTTGTATTTTTGCCATTTGAAAAGGTTGTGGTGTAGTTGGTCTGTAATTAAGTTGCAGATTTAAAACTGCTGTTAGCTTTGTAAATCAAAATATAGGTGCTTTGTCCTGGTCTGTTGTCACTCCATCTGCAGCTGGAGCTGGAGTCCCATTGATCTTCTAGCTACCATTCATTTTCTTCACAGTTCACAAAAGAAGAATGTGAAGTTCAGTGAATGCTGTGATTAATCCTGTATGGAAATGAGTTTCATTTCACCAGATTTTAATTGTTTTTCCCACTAAAATGATGATACAAGTTGAAGACACATCACTCTGAAATTGGAAGACCTCATCACTAAGGCTGCACAGTGGCTTACTCAGCTGAACTCTAGGTTACTACTCTTTACGTTGTTCACCCATTGGGGGCTGTGGTTTTTTTAAATGTTGGGAAGTGGCCATTCTAACTACTGTTGAATGTCTCTGTTTTGGGAAGGTCTAATAAGAAATAAAAAAGAATATATATGAAGGGAGAGGCTGGTGTCTCCTCCCATATGGTTGTGCTTATGCTCTATGGCCTATTATATATTTTTGGAGGTTTGTTTTACTATTATTTTTCCATCAACAAATATTTTTCTTGAGATTTTCCCCCTATAAGTCCTTGCAATATTGTTAAATATTTCAGGTAGAGCATACAATAATACTTAAAAGCTGAAGTCCATTTAAAAAAAATAGCCAAGGAATTTTAGAACTCAGACCACTGAGCTAGTCTGTGTCAAAAATTTTCTGAGCTATCAAGAATCAGTTCTTATAACTCTTGAATAGAATGGAAGGTGAAAATGCTGAGAAAAAGTGTCCTAGACATTTTTTATCAGCTCTTGGTGTATGTGAACTCCTGATGGCCCTTTCCCAGCTACTTTGGGACAGTTAGTGGTAACCATCTGACAACCCCCATGCTACAGCACTGTAGAATATGCACTGGATTGCTAGCTTCTAGGTTGGTGGTTCACACCCACCCACTGCTCCTTGGAAACCCTATACAGTGTTGCTGATTTGATGGCACTTAACACCTGTGATATAGTAAAGACGTCTAAACATAACTAATTTATATGCCCCAGCTGTGTGTCCTTAAAGTGCTCACGTTGCAAGACTATATTTAATGTAATCATTGCTCACATTATTTGAAAGGATTCCCCCCCCCCTATTTTTTCCAGTCCTCTTGATTTTATTAATAATGACAAACTTTAGTGGAAGTTGGTGAGCGAAGTGTAACTTGATCTTAAGCTATACATGGTTTTAAATATCAGTATATTGTTGAAGTGAAACTTGTTTTCTGAAATACTTTGTTAATACCTGTTTTAAAGGGCATATTCAAGCATAATGAAAATGTCAAACAGTGGCAACACCATTGAGGTTACTCATTGCCCAATACAAATTTCAGGTTGTTGGTCAAATGCAGTATGTACTAGGGGTCTTCAGCAAATTCAAGGGAAATGGACTTAAAAGATAAAACAGAATTTTTCCACTAACATTTTGAAGCAACCTTGTGTGCCAAAGCTATGTATGAACCCACCAGTGGCTAAAATTTGTCAATGAGAAAATAGACAAGTTCAAGACTGATGATTTCTGCAAATTCACACTTAATTCTTTTTTTATTTTTATTTTTTAAGTCTACCCCATTCAGCATTGGGAGGTGGAGGGGCCATGTACCAACTCAGCCTGCCTGTTAGTAAACTTTATTAAACCAGGTACTTAGAGATTTTGGAGGAATTACTACTTTTGCCTCTCACATCAGTATATCTGGAACAAACTTGTGATGTTCAAATGCTTGTGTTGTAAATTCAAAATATGTAGTACTCATGAGCATGTCAAGTATTGGGAGCAGTGTTAATTGGTGTCAGGTACCACTCCAGACTTGAATCTAAAGATCTGGCTTATTTAGATAATTCATGAATGTTGAAGTAAAGAGGATCCAAGTCCTTCATAATGAGGCCAAGCAGAGTGCAGTGCATTACTACAGCACATTTAAACCAACATGTTCTAGTTCATCTGACCATTTAGTGCCCCAATTGTCTTATTTTTTTTCAGAGATAAATATTTATATGCAGAAGAATTTGAGAAAATTATGCTATTTTAGCCTTTTTAGTGCACCTTTCTAAATTCCACCATCTTGCTGTGCCTGGTACAGGGAATGGAGAAGTAGCCCAGACCATCTTGAATTTTAAACTCTACTATGAGCTCACAGGCTGGAGTCCTGGTGTGGCTCTACAGGGTAAAGCACTGGACTGCAAAGTTGTTTTGAGCCACATGGTCAGCAGCTCAAACTCACTAGCTGTTCCTCAGAAACCCTGTACAGGTTTGCTGTGAGTCAGAACTAACTCTAGCTCACAGGCTAGTAGTGGAGCTGCCAGTTGGCTCAAGTGAAGCTATTCATTTGAATTAAAAGAGCTGAACCAGAGGGAAATTTAAATATTTAGAATGTATTTGAATATAGATATAGATGCTGATGGAGAGGAAACTTTTCTGAAGGTGGCAAGCACCCTGATTGGATTTTGGCATAATTAGTAGGGGTTCAGTTCTAAATCCCAGTTCATAAAGTTAGATTATGTACCTAACATCCCACATTAAGGTAAAATTGTGCAGCTTCCTAAAACTACTTAATTTCAATTGTTTACCTCCAAAACAATGGAGTCCTGGTATGACCCTGTAAGGTAAGCACTGGGTTACAAGGTTGGCTTGAACCGAAAGGTCGCAGTTCAAAATCACCAGTTCCTCAGAAACCCTGTGTAGGGTTGCTATGAGTCAGAACCGACTTGAGGGTGCCTAACTAAAATATGGAGTTCTGGTGTGGTGCTGTAGGTTAATGCGTTGGACTGCAAAGCTGAACCACAAGGACTGTGAAGCTCACCAGCCACTCTCAAAATCCTGTACAGATTCCCTATGGGTTTGAACGGACTAGATGGCATTTGACACCAGCAAAATAAAGGTGTTCTATCTACATTTATTGGGTACCATTAAAATGTTAATACAGAATCATTTTAACTTCCCATAGTTAATATAAAACTTCATTTTGCCCCCTGTTTGCCTCCAAAATAAATTGCTCATTTATCTAAGCTCAGATGGTCTTGATTTAGCAAAACCAGTGAGAATATAATAACTTGGATTTTTTTTTTTAGGTCATGTGAGTAAAGAAATAACTTGTGTTTTATATAGTCCAGTTTACAAGGTGTTTTTTCACCACTTTTTTTTGTTGGTGGTGGTCGTGGTAATTTTATTTTGGTGTTTAAAAGAATAGTAGTAAGGACCCCTTATCCCTCTAACACAGAGTTCTGATGTGGTGCTGTAGGATAAGCCCTGAACTGCTAATCACAAGGTCCATAGTTCAGACCACAAGCTGCTTCGCAGAAACACTGTACTGGGTGACTGAATTGGAACCCACTCGATGGCACTTAACACGTTTTTAACACAGATGTAACAGTTAACATTTTACCCCATCTGTTCTACTTGAACACTTTAATAAAGTTGATCCTCATTCACAAATTTCATACTTTAGAATTCACCTCATACTATAACTTACAACTCAAAAATTAGTACTCCCTGCACTGTTTTCATTTGTGGACATGTGCAAGCAGTGAAGAACTTGAATTCCCTTACATGGGCCTAGCTCAGTCATGTCCAGCTCTCATAAACCTGTATCCTCACCTCTATTTAGGGCCATGTTTCTCAATTTTT